ATAATCATAATCATGGTCAGTATAACCATAATCATAATCATAATCATGGTCAGCAATATCAATATCCTAATCATAATCATGGTAAGTATAATCATGATCCTAATCATACTCGTAATCATAATCATGGTCAGTATAACCATAATCATAAACATACTCATAATCATAATCATGGTCAGTATAATCATAATCATAATCATAAACATGGTCAGCGTAATCATGATCATAATCATATTCGTAATCATAATTATAATCATGGTCAGTATAACCATAATCATAAATATAATCATAATCATAATCATAGTCAGCGTAATCATAATCATGGTCAGTATAACCATACTCACAATCATAATCATAATCATGGTAAGCATAATCATAATCATGGTCAGTATAACCATAATCATAAACATACTCATAATCATAATTATGGTCAGTATAATCATAATCATAAAAATGGTCAGCATAATCATGATCATAATCATGGTCAACATAACCATAATCATAATCATACTCATAATTATAATCATAATCATAGTCAGCATAAACATAATCATAATCACAATCATAATCATGGTCAACAGTTTGAACACTAATACTCTCAGAACTTTCACTTGACTTCGTGCTACCAAAACCTTCGATAACTTCTGAACATTTCTGTCAGCATAGTTTTGCTCGCGAGGCTTGGATCAACTCCTGATATGTTAATCATATATTTTCCAAAATCGCCGCACCACGGAATCACTTCCCCAGGCCGACAACATCAAGATGTCACCTTCCTGACAAATCAATCATGGTAAGTTTCGAACACGAGTCTCGAAAAGAGAATGTTTTAACTCCTCAGCCAAACACACATACATATATTTTTTTTAATTTCACCCCAAGCAAGGAGATAACGTCACTAAGACGCAAGGGGGTTACTGAGAGTGAAAGATAATGAGAAGACTTTAGTATATAGAAAGGTCAATAAAAGATCAGTTGAGGAAGACAGAGACAGCGATTGACGTAGCGTTTAAATATTTGAAGATTCTTGGTGGCAGGAAAGTAAGAAACCGCAAGAGAGTTCCACTGGCGAGAAATTTCCGGAAAAAAAAAACTATTAGAATAGAACTTACGGTTACATTTAGCTATTTCAACTGAAAAACAATGAGACTTTGTTGCCAATGTCTAAACTATGAGCTATATATACAACTATTTTCTCAGATCAATGATTAAAAATGGCTTCAAGAAAGCTTCATCCAAGCTTAGATTTACTGAGACTCCAAAATCGTAAATGGTAAGTCTAACGGAATTATTTTTGGAATTTCCAAATACCCAGTTTTTACTAATTAAACCCTCTTGACAAAAACTTACATTATTATTATGTTTGAAATTTGCCTGTTTGTTATACGCGCTGCACCCCCAATTTTCAGCCAAAATGCATGTTATAACTGATAATCATACTTATTATAAAACCCAAGTTGTGTGTGTTTGTCTGTTCGTTTATATATGGGATCGGATTCCCTACATTTTCAACCGATTTCAACAAAACTTCACAGGACTACGTAAAATTACCTTGCGGTGGTTCTAACAGCGCCAAAAATTGGAAAAAAAACGCAATTGTTTTTGCATGAAATCAATTTGAAAACACGATTAAGAGGCATCGCTGTTTCGAGAATGAAAGGGGGACAACTCATATCGAGTTATACTTATTATAAAACCCAGGCTCTGTGTGGGTGTGTGTGTGTGTGTGTGTGTGTGTGTGTGTGTGTGTTCGTTTATATATGGGATCGGATTTCCTACATTTTTCAACCGATTTCAATAAAACTTCACTTTTTTTTTGGCAGGTAGTGTTTCTTATTTTCTTGCACACTTTTTTCTTTATTTTTACATTCAGAATGCTTTAAAAATTCCGTTTACAAGACAATTGTTTATAATAAAATTGAAAAATTCTATTCAATCGGTAGACTCACCATAACGATTGAAAACATTTTTGTTTGAGTTTGGTTTTGAGCAATTCGTAAAAAAACCCCAAAAAACAAACAAAAAAGAAAAACTAATTAAGACATGCGTGTCCGTCAACCTTAAACAATAATCTTTGTCAATTTTATTTTTCAGTCTTTATGATGGTCGATACTTGATCTATCTCTTACTGTTACATCCCCGGGCAACGCCGGGCTCTACTGCTAGTAATATATAAAAACAAGAAACTGCAAAAGGGATAACATCAAATAAAAAACGATTTTCGATGTTCAGATGTATTAAAATCAATTTTCATGTTAGCAAATAAAATTATAATGGCCTAAGAATAGTTAATTTGAATAAAATCTTTAAAAATTTAAATTTTTAAAAATTTGAATGAAATCTTTAATACGTTTCCGAAATCAAAGGCAAATGTTATACAGAAAAAGTCAATGAAGTCTCCATATGATCAGGAAAACATTCTACCGGGAGTCTGTTCCACAAAGCACCAGTTCTTTGGAAGAAACTGTCTGAATGAAGCTTACTCTTTACTAATGGAATACAAAGGCAATGGGGACGATTCACACTTGTGTACGTGGCATGGCGGGTCCCCAGCTGTGACGGCCAATGCTGGTGGAACCAAGGAATCTCGCTCTTAAGAACACTTACCATGGTAATGGCGATATAGTAACGAGATGCTCACGACGTTTTGTCTGTGGTAAAGGTGTTTTAAGTTAGAAAATAATTCATCACTAAAAAGGCTGCGTAGAAATTTTGAGCTCTGTAAAGACACACAAGTGAGGATTGGACAGTCCCAGGCCAAATATGGCAGCAATACTCCATTTTTTGGTTTGATTTGTCTCTTTTAAAGTCAGAGCATATCAAGGGGAGTCGGACACTTTCTGGGACGGTACAATGAAACAGCCATCTTTTTTTCCAGCCTCTTTAGCGATTGATCGTGTATATGATTTCCCTTTGGGGTCTGGAGTGAGCTTTAATCTCATTTGAGGTTCAAGGCTTAAGCGCTGGTGAAACAGTATTACCTTTGCCGCAGTTTACTCAAGAGGTTAAACCAGGTGAGCGATATTCTAGTTGGGAAGGAATTTTTTAAGGTAGAGAAAGTAAGTTAAACCTTTATAGAGTCACTACCCAGTGATTTTAGAAAACACAGTTGCCGTTCCACGACGTACAACCGTGTTTTTCGGTCAAGATTACCCCCTTCAATCATCGTAGTCAATCTAGTCATAATTTCTCGCACAATACCCTCCTCTCAAAGAGTTAAAACCAAAACACACACGCATACCGGCTCTGCTCATTTCCCTACCTTGGGGTTCCTCGACGTGGTGTAATGGTCAGCAAGCTTGTCTCGCTTGAGTAACATTATAACAGAGTATTGAGTTCTATCCTCACTGGGTGTCCTATATAATTTCGAGCTTGTGCCACAACTAAGTTGCGCTTAGAAAGTCACCATTTTCCTACCGTCGTAATCTAGCTCCCCTGTGCTTTTTTTCTATAAATACTTTCATAGTAACCGTTCTGATGAGCTTTGCTGTAGGATATCTAGATTTTTTACATTTAAGTGTAGTACTAGATCGGTAGCAAGGTTTCATTTTGCAGATGAATTGGCTAGAAGTAACCGTAACTTCTTCGCTAACATTTTTCTCTCACTTCTCGCCTGTGGAAGTCCCTCTAAAACAAACTAATTTTGATCTTCAAACATTTTAATATCAATCGTTATCTATTGTCTTCTTGACTCCTCTTTTATTTTACTTGCTCTTTAATAATGTTTACTTTTCCTTACTCTTTCATACTCACTAACCTCTTGTGTCTTAGTGGTTTTATTGCTTTTCATGGGCTGAAATGATAAAAAAAAACAACTCTATCGTTATTCCCGCGGCTAATGTTCAAATGAGGATCATTATTTAGTTTCGTCACTTCAGACCTTTACTGCTAGAACACACCAGTTTACTTTCACAGAATCGAATCACTCTCATTTCCTTTCTATTCCACATGAATGGAGAAAGTTCTACTGGGGTAGTTTTTTTTTCCTGAAGAACTACTGCTTTTTCGAACAGTGGTGGCTTTTCTGAGCACTTTAATTTTGATCGCTTCAAGTCAAAGGCCAATCATCATATTTCCCTCTTATTATCATAATCCTCACTTCTCTTTCACTCATAGCACAGCTCATTCTTCATAACCATTTTAAATGAACGCTCTACCTTGACTGGCACTCGGGCTTTGTATTTGATGAACTTTAATATTAAAAATTCTAATTTAATTTTTGGATTACACAAAACTATGATTATCATTTTTCTATCAATGTTGTCTTCGTAAACAGGCTCAAGAAATATATCTCCGCTCTTTCAAGATGGAAGGATTTGATTGAATAGACTGAAGATCGATAAATCCTTGAATTAACATCATTTGAAAAAGACGATGATTATCGATTATTCGTTGTTGGTCCGGCTCTGATAAAAAAGGACTGAATACTCCTGGCTGTTTCATGACAGGCCCTATCGATCTGCGTTGGACAACGGAGTGAGCAATACAATCTTGGCCACCCATTAACACAGTCCTGTGAGTCGGTCTTCTCTTTTCCATGTCAACAGGATATTCAATGTTAACAAAAGTGATTGGCAAAGAAACTATACATTGGGATGGTTACCTGTATTTGACCGGAATAGTTGTTTGCAGGAGATTTTAAAGACACTTTAAAGACATGAGTCAGTGGACACTAAACTATGTGTGTGTGTGAGTGTGTGCGATAGAATGAGAAAAAAAAGGAAGAATTTAAAATCGGAAAAATACAAGCTAGAAAAATGTTGATGACAAAAAAAGCGTAAAAAGAAAGAAAGAAAGAAAGAAAGAAGGAGAACAAATAAACGAAAAAATGAAATAAAAATGCGAACAGTAAAGAAAGACGATAACTAATATAGAAGAAGCAAGAAAAACTGAAAACGAAAAAGAGAGAGAGAGAGAGAAATAAAAGTGAGAAAGAAAGATACTATCTACAAGAGGATTTTAAAAAAGACTATAAAAAAAGAAGCGAAAGAAGACTTGAAATGGAAAGAAAGAAACAAAAGAAAATGTTAAATAAGAAAGAAAGAAAATAAGAAAGAAAGAAAATAAGAAAGGAAGAAGTAACATTATGTTAAATTGAATGAAGTAAAATGAACAAAGAAAGAAAATTGAAAGAAATAAGATGATGACGAGAGAAATAAAGAAAGCAAAAGACTATAATGTTTTAAGTTTATGTTAAAAAAGGACAGAAAAAAAAGAAGGAAAGACAATAGAGAAATGAGAAAGTGAATGAAAAAATAAAAGGGCTGTAAAAAGTATTGCATATAAAAGCAACAAAAACTGAAGTTCAGAAAATATAAAGTAAGAAAAAGAAAACTAAATAGTAAGAAGGAATTGAAAAAAAATCAGAAGTAAAAGATGACTAAGTAGAAAGAAAGAAAGAAAGAACAAGATAACTATATAGAAATAGAAAGAAAACGAAAGAAAGAAAGAACAAGATAACTATATAGAAATAGAAAGAAAAAGAAAGAAAGAAAGAACAAGATAACTATATAGAAATAGAAAGAAAACGAAAGAAAGAAAGAACAAGATAACTATATAGAAATAGAAAGAAAAAGAAAGAAAGAACAAGATAACTATATAGAAATAGAAAGAAAAAGAAAGAAAGATAAAGAAAGATGGCGAAAAGAAAGAAAGAAAAAGATAATTGTAAGAAAGAAAAGGAAAGATAACTAAATAGTAAGAAAGAATTGAAGAAAGAATAAATAATAAGATTAAATAGAAAGAAAGAAGGAAAGAAGGAAAAGAAAGAAAAAGACGAAAAAAAAGAAAGATGACTAAATAGAAAGAAAAAGAAAGAAAAAAAGATGATAAATCGAAACTGAAAGAAAGAAAATAAAAGAAAGATTACTACTTAGAAAGAAAGAAAGAAAGAAAAAGAAATTAAAAAAAAAAAAAAAAGAAAAAAAAAGTAAGAAAGAAAAAGTTGACTACGTAGAAACCGAAAGAAAGAACGAAAAAAAGAAAGAAAAATAACTAAATAGAAAGAATTGAAGAATAAAGAATAAAAGACAACTAAATAGAAAGAAAGAAAAAGATGAATAAATATAAAGAAAGAAGGAAATAAAAAGAAAAATAATAAAACAGAATAAAAGAAAGAATAAGAGGACTAAATAGAAAGAAAAAAAAGAGATAATTAAATAATAAGAAAGAGATAACTAATAGAAAGAGAGAATTAATTGAAGAAAGAATAAAAATAAACGTAAACAAAATAGAAAGAAAGAAAGAAAAAAGAAAGAAAAAAGGAAGAAAGAAAGAAAGAATTAAAAATAAAAATGATAAAACAGAAACAGAAAAAAGAAAGAATAAGCACACTAATTAGAAAGAAAGAAAGAAAGAAAGAAAGAAAGAGATAATTAAATAATACGAAAGATAACTAATAGAAAGAGAGAATTAATTGAAGAAAGAATAAAAATAAACGTAAACAAAATAGAAAGAAAGAAAGAAAGAAAGAAAGAAAAGCTACTGGTTTATTGTCAGCAATTAGGTTTTCTATTGGATATGCAAATCCATTGTTGTCTATGACTAATTTCCCAAGATAATCTTCGCATCGCTCTGTTAATTTTCCTTATTGAAGTAGAGTGACCATAACTACTCGAACTGTACGCAATGGGAGCTGCGAATTAAACGGACCTCCTGCCAAATTTGACATTGGGTGGATACATATAAATAAAATAAAACAAACCAAAACTCGACTATACGATTTCTCATTCCGATCTGTTAAGCTTTGCACCACCTGCACATCCAAGTTCACACTTTACCCATCTAGTTACTGACTATGATCGACGTTATTTAACTTTAGTGATCGTACGAGAACCGATGTTTTGGCGTGATATGGCCATAAACCGCACAAAGGATAGAGAGTTACTGAATGCGGTGGATGATATTAATGTAAGAGGAGATAGAAAGCACAAGGATAAGGAGGATAGATAATAACAGGCTCTTGACGTGAAGAGGTTAGGATTGTAGTTTTTCGAGGTGGTACCCGGGGGCGGGGGGTCTGACCCATAAAGTAGCAGTTTGGGGGGAAAGGTTGTTTCCGAGCAACTTTCTCCTTACTATTGGAATGCGTAGCAAATGATAGTCATTCGATTTCCGGGTATGCGTGTCTGCTAGGGAAGAGGGGTAGCTAATCGAGAGGCGACCTATGGCTTACACCACAACTATGCTGAACGGACCATAATCCCATTTTCTGGGAGAAAGTGAATAATTTGACATTATCAGTATTTCGATCAATGGCAGTACGTTCAAATGCTCTGTCACGGTGACAAATAACTTTGTTCTAGCACCACCATTGACAGCTTCACAACAGTTCCGTCGACCCAATTTCAATAACGATCCTTTCTACTTTCCAATAGTACTGCACGCTGGAATCGTCTTCACAGGCTGATATTATTAAGAAATATCAATCTGATATTCGAACACAGATCTCATGGTCGGAAATATTAGCGTTCTCTCTTGCCTTGAGTTGACAACCAGCCAGTATATATATATTATAAATTTACTACTTCAAAAATATGGTTCCATCGCTACACAGGAATTACCATGTTTCAAAAACAGAAACTAAAAACTTCAAACTCAATTAGAGAATTAAGTTAAAGTCCCTAGCCCTGCTTCATTTCATCTCTCTCTCTCTCTCATATATATATATATATATCATAAGTTATATGGATATGAGTTTGTGACATTGAGTGCTACGCTTTTGCGATAATCAGACAAACTCAGGGTTACAAACTCATACCCATACAACTTATGTTATCTCTATCACTGACATTCAGTGCTTTCCACTAAATATCGCATATATATATATATATATATATATATATATGTGTGTGTGTGTGTGTGTGTGTGTGTGTGTGTGTGTGTGTGTGTGTGTGTGTAATTAACAAATCGGAGACTTCAGAAAGCCATGTTAATATTTTATCTCATAAGACAGATAAAATTTGATTTCGCTTAGTCAGACCTGACGGTTTCAAAACAACCAAATCTGACGTAGCAAAATCGAATTTTTTGGGTCTTGCAAAATCGAATTTTTTGGGTCTTGCGAAATAAAATATTACCAGGGCTTTCTCAAGTCTCCGATTTGTTAATGAATTATGACTTGCTTTGTGTATTACATTGACCTCCCGGGATTTATTCATACGGATTACTAATTAACTTTATATATATATATATATATATATATATATATACGAAATGCATTTATATCCAACAGATTTTTTAATTTATTTGTTTAAACGTTATTTTTTTACAATGGCTACTCTTATTTGAGTAGATGTTCTGTTTTTATCTATTTTTTAAGCAGTATGTATATGTATTTATATCTACTGGCCTTAGTGATATTTTGTTAGAAAAATATGCTTCCTCTGGCAGGATTCGAACCTGTGTCCTCTAGATCTAGTGATATTTTGTTAGAAAAATATGCTTCCTCTGGCAGGATTCGAACCTGTGTCCTCTAGATCTAGTTTCCTCCTCGAATATTCAGGCCAGTAGATGTAAATAAATATACATAAGAATTAATAAATAAATAAATAAATACACAGCATCAATTTTAAAAAATAAATATTTAAATAAATATATATATATATATATATATATATATATATATATATATATATATATATATATATCAAAAAAACGCTCAGTATTTTTCTATATTTTGATACATTGAGCTTTCTTCCAGCATCTATCTATTAAAAAACTATTTGGATTATCCTTACCATTTACGGATTTCCAGTAATAAAAAATAATGTCAGATAAATACACTTAAAAATAACCGTTGTTCATCTCCCGTGTACGAAACGGAAGTTAGCAGGTATAGATTCGTAGACTCCCCGACGAGAAATGTGAATTCCTTAAATAGCTAATTCTCCCCCTGTTCTATCAACGCTAAGTGTCTGTCCAAATTAGTGACGACTCGTTTCGGTTACAGAAGTTTCCCTGATGGAAAAGAAGATACAGTTTCGATTCCTTTCGTAGGTACAAGCTTTCTTTAGAAGAATTTGTCAATTTTGGCCGGTTGTTTTCAAATTTACCGTTTAAGAAATGAAAAAAAAAGATAGCAGCTCAAATACATTTACTCATTAAAATTAACGTTTATAGTAATATATATATATATATATATATATATATATGGACCAGTCGTGTCAGTGATGACGACAATCTGCTGTTGAAATGACCACCATGTTCCTCTGGCTTGACACCTTGTTATTTTTTCTATGGTGCTATGTGAAAGGACAGGTCTATATCCCCCTCTCCCTAAATGCATAAAAGAACTTAAGCAGCGAATCACTGGGACAGTAGAGAATGTTACAAGACATTTGGACTACTGACTTGACTTGTGTTATGTCACAGGTGCTGCGTATATTGAATATTTGTGAAACTTTGTTAAATCTGTTATAAAATCTACAACCCTCTGGATATACTGTTAGAAATTCGATAAATATATCCTTTTTTAACACGAAGCCTATTTAATTTCGCTTGCCTCGGACATATAGTTACTCAGATATTCCCATCTTAAATAATGTCAATGATGTGGTGGTACCCTGTATATCTGTATAATAAATGCCAATGTCAGTGTGTCACTGTGTCAAACTTTTTCAATTAAGGGGACACAATTCTCAATAGCTCATCTTCTTCTTTTATATATTAAATGCCAGTGCCAGTGTTTCACTGTGTCACACTTTATCTATTAAAAGGACATAACTCACTAACTTTCAATAGCTCATATTTAGAAATTTAGGATATCCAAGTTTTCATTACTGCGATTGTTTTTAGCGATTTTTACGTGATTTTTGCGACGAATTTTTTGTACAATAACAATTATTGATAGCGTGGAAATAAATTTGGGAATAATTAAAATTCATTGGAAATCCAGCGAAAGTCATTCACAAAATAAAAATAATTGTACGGAAATTAAGAACCTGCGCAGGTGATATTGTCTTTAAATTAAGTGGCGACAGAAGAATTATCGTTGAACTTTTAAAAGGTAAACTTAAATATTAATGCAATATTTAAGTGCAGCGATCAATTTTGCGTTCCGTAATTTATTGATGCCTATCTCATACAACAACAGCATGTCTCACAAAAAAAAAACTCCGCCAACAGAGGATAAGATTGCAATCAAAAGCAAGGCAAGGAATATATATATAAGAACTCAGATCAAACGGCAGCCAGTAGAGCTTCCAATGCTGAGAACATTCAAAGACACTCAAATTCCTGAACAAGCTGAAGGTTTAATCAAGAGCCCTCTGCAGGGGCCAGCTTAAATATATATGGGACAAGGATTTATATTTTTGTATATCAAGAACAATATTGAGGAAATTGTATGACAAATTGGAAAAAGTTTAATTGTAACGCGTTTCGTCTTTCAGGACTTCATCGGACTAAATGCGTCATGTTGGTACGACTACACATTCGCACGAACGAAGGGTGCTGGATATTTTAGAATTTTTATTTTTTTTTATATCTAGCCGAATTCATTTCATCTTTTTTCTATTTCTTTCCATCACTTTTGTTAGTAAGTATCACACACTGTGATAATAGAAAATCTGTATATTGTATATCGAACTAGTATACATTCCGGTAATTATGTCAAATTTTATTTTGGTTCCACTAAAAATCCTTGAAAAAAATCGTTTTTACTATCACCGAATGAATTTAAGCAATATAAAATACATAAGCAGCACTGCTCTCTCAAAACATTTCTGGCAATTTAAGAATAGTGGTAATACACCCATTATTACGTGGGATATTGTAGCAGGAGACAAATAATACAATGGGAAAGGCGATAGATGTAAGTTATGTCTTGTTGAAAAATTAGTTATCTTAAAACACTTAAATAACCCTTCAATACATTTCTCTTATTCAATAAGTTTATTGAATAAGAGAAATGTATTGATGGTTACATGTAGGCATAAAAATAAATACCTGCTCAAATACGTTGATCCAGATTAATTTTTAATATACATTGTTTCTTTTTTGATTTTGTTCTTTTTTTTTTTAAGAACCAGTAATCTGCTTTTATGCTTAACATGAAAAAAAAATTTAGTCACAACTCTAAAATAATTTTTTACAAATATATATAAATGATGTTTATTTTAAATGACAAATATATTTTATAAAATTAAAAAACTGTAATATAATGTATGACTGCGCCAACATTGCGGTGACCAGATACTTTTATTAAAATTTAAATTACCTAACGGTCAGTCTATACTCAGAAAATTGTGTTGTACATGAAACTCCGAATCGTGTTATCAGGGAGGATAATATATATATATATATATATATATATATATATATATATATATATATATATATATGATGCTATCAAATCTTGTAGAATTCAAATAGATTAAAAATTTGTTCAGGTGTCAAGTTATTCCGCGTTTTCCATGTTCCTTTCGTTATTTCACACATCTCTTCACCAGGGAATAATAATAAGCTCGCTTTCTGTCAATTTTTCGTTCCTTAAATAATATATTTCCCGCTTTTACACATTTTCTGCTGCATGACGCACATGTGCGTCCTTCGGCATTATGTAAGAGTTCAATTACCCAAGCTAACAGTGAATGTGTTAGCCTTTCAGAATTTTTTTAAACATATGGTTTATATATATATATATATATATATATATATATATATATATATATATATATATATTGTTTAACACCTCATACACGCAAACACACGCACACATATATATATACATGCATATTATATATATATATATTGTATGAAATTACAGTTCAATATATTTACTCCTTCAACATGAATAAAAGAAGGAAAAATCTTTATCAGCCTTTTTATCATACACAAATGCATGTATTATTTCGCGCGCAAATTTTCCCGCTAAAACGTATGGTGAAAGAAGTGCTCGTTGGATAAAAATGTTTACACAGAAAAATTTCCGAGCTGTAATGTTTTATTGCACTTTCGTTCGGATGTTGAATTCTTGAATGCGATTCCTTCCTGATACGTGTTTTTTTTTTATATTCACACCTTTTTTCGCGCGCATTTTGTAGTCGCCATTTTCTTTTCCGTCTTCATTTCGTCTATTTATTCTCATTGTTTTAAAATTTTAAAGTCTTCTTTTATAAACTTTTCTTTCCGATTTCTTTTACCAATGTTGTTTTCGTTATCTTTCTTTCTTTCTATTATTATTATTATTATTATTATTATTGCCATTTTTACATGTTCCGTGAGAGAGCGACACGTTAATAATTTGAGTCTCCACTACTGTTCAGCCTATATAGCGAGGCCATCATAAGGGATTTGGAAGTCATTCCAGGACTTATTATCGGGGCGCATAATCTTAAAAACAGGAGATACACAGAAGATATCCTCTTGATGACAGATATATTGGGTTGGCAACTAAGTTCCTGCCGTTTTGATTTTAATTTTGGAATCTATTGTGTTCTTAAATTTTGGAATCTATTGTGTTCTTAAATTTTGAAATCTATTTTTTTGTCGAGAAATCTATTTTTTTGTCGAGAATTCTATTTTGGAATCATTTTGTCATCGATTTTGTTTGTTTTTTTTTCAGGGCACCTCAAGGTGGTGTAATGGCTAGCAAGCTTGTCTCGCTAGAACTATTACGACTGAGTAGTGAGTTCGATACTCACTGGGTACCCTATACTTTCGGCCTTGTGCCACATCTGAGCTACACTTGGAAAATCTCTATTTTGTTTGTTTGTTTTTTTTTTTTTCGAGTTAATTTAATTTCTGTTTATTTCAGATCATTAAAATGGAATGTTAAGAAAAATGAGCTTTTTCAACACCTTCTTTTTGCTTTTAAGCAAGGCTCTAAGGCCGCAAAAGCTGCTCGCGACATTTGTGCTGTGTATGGAGAGGATGCTATAGCAGAAAGAACCGCTTATGATTGGTATGCCAAGTTCAAATACGGAAATTTTGACGTCAAAGACGCACCTCGTTCTGGCCGTCCATTTGAGTTCGATGACGAGCGATTAAACCCACTTTAAACGACATGGGAAGTGGCAGAGAAAATAGAATGTTCCTACACTGCTATAGAGAAGCTTCTTCACTCGATGGGAAAAGTTCAGAAGTGTGTAGGATGCGTTCCTCATGCTTTAACTGATAATAACAAAAATAAACGAGCCATAATCTCCGATGGTTTACTTGCTCGTCACCGCTCAACTCATGAACGCAAGCAACGATTTCTTTCCCGAATAGTTACTGGCACCGAAAAATGGTGCCTGTACATCAATATGAAGCAGTGCAAGAAATGGCTTAGCCCCGGTAAACAAGCGACACTGCTGGTGAAACAAGATCTTCTTCCGCGTAAAACGATATTGTGCGTATGGTGTGACTGAGATCCATTACGAATTGCTTGAACGGAACCAGACGGTCAACGTAGAACTCGAGATGAAACGACTCAACACGGCTATTCAAGAGAAGAGACCTAATCGTCAGCATGGAGTTCTTTCGCTGCACGACAACGCCCGCCCTCATATCGCCAATATGACTAAGGAAGCCATTCAAACACACGGCTGGGAAGTGCTGCCACACCCGCCGGACTCACCCGATTTGGCACCAACGGATTTCCACCTCTTTCGATCTCTTTCAAATGCTATGAGTCGAAATATGGTGATTTCTACAAACGAGATATTGAAAATCTTGTTAAACGTTAGGAAGAAGTTGTAAACAACAAGGGAGAATAGATTATTGATTAAATAGTTATTTTTTTTATTAAACGTTTTAAAAAATTAAATTTACAGAAAAACGGAGGGAACTTAATTGCCAACCCAATAGAAACAACTACTGAAACTCCGAGAAAAGATAGTAAATGAAAAGGAGAAAAATGGATTAGTCATCAAATATAAGGAAAAAAGGATGTTTGTTAGCAAGAGAAAAAAAAGCCTCAGATGCAAACTTCGAATTAGAAATGTCAACATCAAATAAACAGAGACGTTTAAATATCTGGGAATTATTTTAACTGAGGATGGAAAATATGGCACCGAAATTCCGAACGCACATTGGATACATTCCAAAATCTAAAGGTAGAAAGAAACCGTTCGTTGGAAACAAAAAAAGAGTTATGTCATATCAATCCTCTTGTATGGCAGTGAATGCTAGTATATCTCCCCACGGATGAAGAAGAAACAGGTGACAGTGTAGATCTACAGAATGATACTGAGAATTTCATACAAGAAGAAGAGTTAAAAAAGACAATGAATATTGATTATTCGTTGTTGGTCCGGCTCTGATAAAAAAAAGGACTGAATACTCCTGGCTGTTTCATGACAGGCCCTATCGATCTGCGTTGAACAACTTAGTGACCAGTCCAATCTTGACCACCCATTAAAACAGTCCTGTGAGTCATTCTTCTCTTTTCCATGTCAACAGGATATTCAATGTTAACAAAATTGATTGGCAAAGAAACTCTATATTGTGATTCGATGGTTACCTGTATTTGGCCGGATTAGTGGTTTGTGGAAGATTTCATAGACACTTTAAAGACATGAGTCAGAGGACAATAAACTATGTGTGTGTGTGTGTGTGTGATAGAGAGAAGGGAAAATTTAAAGTCTGAAAAATACAAGCTAGAAAAATACTGAATAAAAAAGCATAAAAAAGAAAGAAAGAAACAAACAAATGAAATAAAAATGCGGACAAAAAAGAAAGACGATAACTAATATAGAAGAAGCAAGAAAAACTGAAAACGAAAGAGAGAGAGAGAGAGAGAGAGAGAGAGTGAGAAATAAAAGTGAGAAAGAAAGATGCTATCTACAAGAGGAATTAAAAAAGACTATAAAAAAGAAGAGAAAGAAGACTTGAAATGGAAAGAAAGAGATAAAAGCAAATGTTAAGTAGGAAAGGAAGAAAATAAGAAAGGAAGAAAATAAGAAAGAAAGGAAATAAGAAAGGAATTATGTTAAATTGAATGAAGTAAAATGAGGAAGGAAAGATGATGACGAGAGAAATAAAAAAAGGCAAAAGACTATAATAATTTAAGTTTATGCTAAATAGAATAAGGACAGAAAAAAAAGAAAGTCAATAGAGAAATGAGAAAGTGAAGGAAATTTTAAGTCTGAAAACCATTTTCTTCCTTAAAGACATTTGGTCTTGAAGGAAAAAATGGTTGCAAAAAGAACACTTATACTCAAAATGGTTGCAAAAAGAACACTTATACTCAAAATGGTTGCAAAAAAAAAACACTTATACTCAAAATGGTTGCAAAAAAAAACACTTATACTCAAAATGGTTGCAAAAAAAAAAACACTTATACTCAAAATAGTTGCAAAAAGAACACTTATACTAAAAATGGTTGCAAAAAAACACTTATACTCAAAATGGTTGCAAAAAAAACACTTATACTCAAAATGGTTGCAAAAAAGAACACTTATACTCAAAATGGTTGCAAAAAAGAACACTTATACTCAAAATGGTTGCAAAAAGAACACTTATACTCAAAATGGTTGCAAAAAGAACACTTATACTCAACAAGAACACTTATACTCATAACAGGGATAGGGAGAGCAGAGGGACATCTACGTGACTAGAATGTGTGAATGGGTGGTGCAACGGGGGCGGGTGTCTTAGCAAAGGGAGAAACACTGCTAAGTGTCACGAGAGATAGAAAGTTGTGAAGCACCATGGTCGCCCACGTCCTGAAGAAGAATATACCCATAATGTTTATAAGTTTTGGTAAAAGCAGTACATAACCTTTGCAGGTAGTTTCCACTTAGACAAAACTTCATGTTGGATAACCCTGTTTGCTAGAATACCTCCGATCTGATTGAGGGTATTTCCAAGTTTCTATGTTTCGCCTGCCTAAACATTTTATTGTACGGCAAGATCGCCACTGGCTTATTGCGGCACAGGGGCACCAAAGAACGGATTCAAAGATTGCCTGAAAAAAATCCTTTATTGCCTATCACATCAACCATTGCCAATGTTTAAGCCTAGCTGAGAACTGTGACGCATGGCGTCTCATCATCAACTATGCTGTCTCCGTCTTTGAAAATACCTGGAGGACAAGGACAAGTACAAGAGGAGGAAGTACTGCAATGCTATGCCATCGAACCCAGGCCAGACTTTTAGCTGCAACTACCGCGACCGTGTATGTTTGTCCCGCATGTGAATTCTCAGTAGCAAATTTGCCTGCAAGCGACGTGTACAGACTCCCTCTTAATCTACGTTTTCCGAAGTCAAGCCATGATGTTTTGATTGATTGACTCGTTCTCTAAGGTTTATCAATCCTTTGCAGGCTATTTAAATCCAGAAAATATTTTTAGATTGTAAGTTTGTATTATTTTTAGAGATAATAATGATTTAGTGATAAAAGTCTTGCTAATTAACCCATAGCCGGGGGAGAAGAGGTGGATTCGTACTTTTCCCAAGGATACTTGTGCGTAAGTGAATATAACGACCCCAGCTGGAATTGAAACTCAGCTCTCGGATTAAAAATTCCGAGCCATTATCCATTACAACACGTGCACATCCAAGCTTACAGCACCTGGTATTCCCTAACAGTTACCCATCTAATTACTTGACCATGTTCGGCGTTACTTAACTTCGGTGATATTACGGGTACGAATTTTTAGATTTGAACCTAAGTCATTTTAGCTGCCTCTTCCTTCAAACTTAAAAATAAAACATCTCCCTTGACCCCTGACCTGATACTCACTAATTACACTTGCTTATGATCAGAAATGCACAATGTGCTAATTAGTAGGGGTAGGTGGCTAGGATCAAAGTGTAGTATCTGCGCTTTGTGAGCTGCCGGGTCAGGTGTCTGTCGAACTCTCTGCTTGCAGAGAGGAACCCGGACGAGGCTCCGCCGAAGGGTGGGGTTTCGTTCGGGGAGGTTGACGGAACTGGCCCGCCTCGGCGGGTTTGGATGGTTATCTATTTTTGGCTGGGCCTACGGGCTCAGAGATACCCACATTAAAAAGGCCTTGTGCCACATTCGATCCCCGTGGGTGGATTGATAAATACCATCTCAAAAAAGAATACCCGCTCGGCCCGGTGGCTAGGATCAAAGTATAGTATCTGCGCTTTGTGAGCTGCCGGGTCGGGTGTCTGTCGAACTCTCTGCTTGCAGAGGGGAACCCGGACGAAGCTCCGCCGAAGGGTGGGGTTTCGTTCAGGGAGGTTGACGGAACTAGCCCGCTTGGACGGGTTTAGATGGGTTTTATTTTTGGCTGGGCCTACGGGCTCAGACATACCCACATTAAAAAGGCCTTGTGCCACATTCAATTCCTGTGGGTGAATTGATAAATACCATCAGTAGGGGTATGACTAATTAGTTATGGTCTGGCTACTGACAAGCAGATGTGTAATACTGAACGGGATATTTACTGTCTGTCTATATTTCTGAGATGAGGTATTATGTACACTATTTAAATTATTCGGACTATTGTCCTCATCTTTGTCGCCATATTTATTACAACGTTTCGGCCCTTCAGTATCTGTCTATATTTCCGAGATGATGTATTATGTACACTATTTAAATTATTCGGACTATTGTCCTCATCTTTGTCGCCATATTTATTACAACGTTTCGGCCCTTCAGTATCTGTCTATATTTCCGAGATGATGTATTATGCACACTATTTAAATTATTCGGACTATTGTCCTCATCTTTGTCGCCATATTTATTACAACGTTTCGGCCCTTCAGTGTCTGTCTATATTTCCGAGATGATGTATTATGTACACTATTTAAATCATTCGGACTATTGTCCTCATCTTTGTTGCCATATTTATTACAACGTTTCGGCCCTTCAGTATCTGTCAATATTTCCGAGATGAGGTATTATATACACTATTTAAATTATTCGGACTATTGTCCTCATCTTTGTCGCCATATTTATTACAACGTTTCGGCCGCTGTACGCTCCGGCCCTCTTCACGCGGTTGGAATGTCAAACCGAACCCTTTATTTCGCTCACTGGGTTAGACATGGCATGTGGAACTGGAACAATCTACCCCAGCGAGCGAAATAACGGTTCAGTTCAACATTCCAACCACTTGAAGAAGAATGGAGCGTACAAGGGCCGAAACGTTGTAATACATATGACGACAAAGATGAGGAAAATAGTACGAATAATGTCAATAGTAGAATATTTACTGTAGCCCACCTTTATTCACCAGGACAAAACTTGTACATATGAATACCTCCAATCAATAAAGATCAAAAGCCATGAGAGCCATGAAGGTATAGCATGAGGGCATTTGACATAAATCAAATTTGAAGTGTTTCTGGAGATATATATTTGATCCAAAATCCATTGGAGAGATTTTGTTGGAGACTTAGTATGGCGTTTATGTCGATAAAAATAATAACAAGGATGATTTATTGAATAACTGTTTCTGATTATGAAGGACGATGCCACTCTAATTCATCGCAAACACAGATAATCAGTCATTATTACATTTTTTTTTTCACCGCAAAGAAGACGATAATACCGTTAGACCACAAAGGACTTAACAACGAGTGAAAGGGAACGGGAAGATTTAGTGGGGAAGATAGAGTAAAGGACAAAGAAGAAATAGGGTCCCTGAAGACAGAAGATGGCGATTGGCCTTGAATTTCCAGAGGTGAGAAATCAGGGTAGATATTATTAGAGTAGAACTTACATCTAGCTATTTCAACAGCAAAATGGTGAGATCTGTTTTTTTTTTTTTGTTTTTTTTTAAGTATTTCACCCCAAGCAAGGCGGGTGTGTCACTATCACGCAAGGATTTACAGAGAGTTAAAGTAAGATTAAAGTGGGGTGTTTGAGGACAGCATAAAGAGAAGGACGTGGATTAAGATCAAGGCATCAAAAGATATCGATTGACATTTACAGAGAGTTAAAGTAAGATTAAAGTGGGGTGTTTGAGGACAGCATAAAGAGAAGGACGTGGATTAAGATCAAGGCATCAAAAGATATCGATTGACATTTACAGAGAGTTAAAGTAAGATTAAAGTGGGGGTGTTTGAGGACAGCATAAAGAGAAGGACGTGGATTAAGATCAAGGCATCAAAAGATATCGATTGACATTTACAGAGAGTTAAAGTAAGATTAAAGTGGGGTGTTTGAGGACAGCATAAAGAGAAGGACGTGTATTAAGATTAAGGCATCAAAAGATATCGATTAACATTACCTTTAAATTTTTGAAGATTATAATTATCAGGGAAGCAAGTAAGGGAGTTCCACTGTTGGGCAGTGTGAAAGAAGAAGTTGTTGGAATAGAAGAAACGGTTACATTTAACTGTTTCGACAGCAAAAGGGTGGGACCGAGATGCCAAACTAGTAACACATAAATTCAGGCAGTTAGGGGACCAGTGAAAATAGCTCGTCTGAGCAGGTATCATGAAAATATTTGTGAAAAAGACAGAGGGAAGCCATATCACGTCATTGAGAAAGTGAATGCTGTTGTGGTGCCATGTCGCATAAATTCATGCAGCTGAGGCCCCAAGGGAAAAAGATCATCAGAACAGTTGCCATGGAAATATTTGTAAAAAAGAGAGAGGGAAGCAATATTCTATAAACTGAGTAGGTGGAAGCTGAGAAGAAATTAATGGTCTTAAATCCCGACGGCCATATGTTATATCTGAAAATTTAATAAACAAGTTATAAAAATATATTGAAGGTAGAAATGGGGGTCGATAAATAAATCGTAATGGCTTACGACTAAAATCCACGAAATTCCAACGAAATATCAATGAGCCTCAAACTGCTTATCAAAAATATTCTTCCTAATGATGATGTCAAAAAATTCAATAAACAGGTTTATTATTTTTTAATGTATTTATTATTATTTTTTATTATTATCTATATTATTTATGAAGTTTTATTATTATTATTTCTTTTTTTTTTTACTTTATTTCTTTTTTTACCTACATTTGTTTTATAATTGCATAACGAGTCATAAGCAATTCTTTCGGGCAAGTGACGAGGGGTGTGGTCTATTGTTGTCTCCATTTCATTAGACAAAAGAGAAATATTAACAAAAAGGTTAAATTGACAAAGCTCTTCGCAAGATATTGTCTGTGTTTGTTAGAAATATTTTGAAATTTCCTGGATACATAGTGCACCAGGAATTTTGCTGATTTGTTCTTGAGTTCCTTTCTTTATCAGACCCAAAGCTCCAACCACAAGAAAAGTTTTAGTTTTTAAGTGAAGGGCGTTTTTCGTTTTTGTTTTTTGCTTTTTTTCGGTTTCTATTTAATTAAACAAAGCAGTTATCAACATAAAAACTTAAATGGACAAAGCCCTTCGCAAGATATTGGCTGTTTGTTAGAAATATTTGTGAATTTCCTGGATACATAGTGTACCAAGAATTTTGCTGATTTGTTCTTGAGTTCCTTTCTTTATCAGACCCAAAGCTCCAACAACAACAGTTTTATTATTATTATTATTATTATTATTATTATTATTATTATTATTATTATTATTTTCTTTGATTTGTGTAAATATACTTATTTCTTTCTAATTAAAAGGTCAGAAATGATATAGCATTTTCCACTTCTCATTTTTGTAAATGTATTCTTAGACAATCTAAGACTACACATATTTTATATAGATAAATCCATTCGTAATGTGTGGGCTCTACTTCTGAGTACAATGTTTTGTATTTCTTTAAGGTATCAGTTAACAGGAATCATTTCAATGAGTTTATTGGGATGTTTTCCAATCAAACAGTTTAGAATTGGAATCACTGATGTCCTCATGTGTCGCCTTTTTCAGATTTCCTCTTTAAGATCCTTATATTTTGATAGTTTTTTTTTTTGAATGCCCAAAGATACATTACAATCTGCAGGAACTGCCATATGAAGAAAAAAGCACATTCTGTTTTTGTTGTCTTTGATGGCTTCGATGTCCGACCGATTAGCTTTGATTGTTTTGTCTGTGTGTATTGTAAAGTTCCATATCTCTGTAACCCGGTCTGGGTGATGTTCATAACAGTTTTTTTTACAGTTTCCTTCCCGTAAAATTTTTCAGTACAGATATTGGCCGACTCTGTCTTGCCGAGGTTTATATTCAGTGGATGCTAATACTGTAAAACCTGATACAAGATGGTCAATTGTCTCTGAATATTTATCACAGAATTTCGGGTTAATACAATTTTTCAGTATGCGTACTTGGTAATTTATAGTTAGCAAGCACAAGTACGGCTTTTGTCAACATCGGTTTGTTAGGTTTGGTTTGGTTTGGTTTACGGCATATCAACCTCAATAGGTTATTTAATGCTGACAAGATTTTAATTGCTGGTAATATTTTTTCCAAAAAAGTATTGCTGGTATTAAAACCTATTTTTATACTTCCAACTTAACTATTTGCCCATAGCTGGGACCCAAACAGGTGCTACAACCCCGGGTCTGGGTGGACCTGAGAACACCAGCAATTAATAGGTGGTTCGATGCTCCTCAAAATCTGATCAAAGGCCTTGCTGTCGGACGGCTTGTTAGGTATGGGTATTGGCCATAAAGTCTTGTCATTTTTTCTATATCTGGTCGGTTGTATTTGCTTTTGCTTTCTTTTTTAAGCATTTTGCAGCTTCAGTCGGTGTATTGTGCTTTAGTTGTATTTCTACACCCATTTGAAACTCCATTTTATTATTGTTTATTATTATTATTTCTTCTTCTTCTTCTACTTCTTCTTCTTCTACTTCTTCTTCTTCTTCTTCTTCTTATTATTATTATTTATTAATATTATTATTTATTATTTATTATTTCTTCTTATTATTATTATTTATTATTATTATTATTATTTATTATTATTATTTAATATTATTATTACTTCTTATTTATTATTATTTTTTTTATTATTTTTTTCTTCTTATTATTTATTATTATTATTTATTATTTATTGTTATTATTTTTTCTTATTATTATTTATTAATGTTATTTATTATTATTTACTATTATTATTTATTATTATTTATTATTATTATTTATTATTATAATTTCTTATTATTATTATTATTTTTTATTGTTATTTATTATTATTATTTTTTTATTATTATTTCTTATTATTTTTATTATTTATTATTATTATTATTATTATTATCATCATTTCTTATTATTTCTTTTTCTTATTTCTTCTTCTTCTTCTTCTTCTTCTTCTTATTATTATTATTATTTATGCATCCCGTTTTATATCCTGAATAGTTTGATCTTCACTTCCGTCTATCCATGGGGCCGAGAATTCTTATTCGTTGTCACGTGCGAAAAAATTTCGCGCGCAATTTCTTTTCGCGGTGCATCTGATTACTTAAGTCTTGTTGTTATGTTCCTCGTAGAAATGAAATTCGTTAAGAATATTATAAAGAATGAACCCGATTTGGAAGGAAATCAATAGAGTTGGCACCATCACTCATCATCAAATCAAGGGAAGAGAAATTGTAGACATTGAAAATCATTGGACTTTCTTCATCATTATTTGACAAAGCTCATATAAATAATACTGAGTCTGTCAAAACGAAGCATCGAAGGATGAAGATGTTTATTTCGAAATGGAACCGATCGACCGATCATAATTCCAGACCAAATATTTTGTTATTATTATTATAGTTTATTATTATCGTATTATTTTCTCACTTTTTATCTTATATTTTTTATTTTTGTGCTTTTTCACATCCAACAAATTTGAAGGATAAGTGCTTCTTTATCTAAGAAACATCTTCAACCCTAGCAAAACACGATACACGCTCTCGTACGTATATTTGTTGTTTATGAAGCGCAAGGAGACTAAGTGAGGATTGAAATCACAATTAATGATCTACAAGTTCAGTTTGCACCTTCGTTCCGAGAAAGACGATGAACTACAGCCTGCAGCAAGACCTCTGATGGGGAGGTCTTGAGAAGCGTAGTATCACCTCCTAATTGCAGTTTTTTCCCAGGCCTACCCTGACAATGAGTGGTAGCACCTGTTAGGGACCCAGTTATGGGCAAATAGTGACCCCCACCCCCTAAACTGGAGTCAAAAATCAGAAAGTATAATTTTTACCAGCACTAGAAAAAAATAATCAGGCTCACAAGAAAATTAAATTTCGGCATTAAATGATACATAAGGAGTTCATATGCCATTAAACGAAGAGTTTGCACTACGAGGTGGCGCCTTGTAATCACATTTCGTTAGTATTTTTAGGTATACTAAAGTTAGGTATCTTTAGGTATACTAAAGATAACCCAATACAAGTCCAGGTTACTCTTACACTATGAGGTGGCGCCTTGTAATCACACGTGTATTTCGTTAGGTATCTTTAGGTATACTAAAGATAACCCAATACAAGTCCAGGTTACTCTTACACTATGAGGTGGCGCCTTGTAATCACACGTGTATTTCGTTAGGTATCTTTAGGTATACTAAAAGATAACCCAATACAAGTCCAGGTTACTCTTACACTATGAGGTGGCGCCTTGTAATCACACGTGTATTTCGTTAGGTATCTTTAGGTATACTAAAGATAACCCAATACAAGTCCAGGTTACTCTTACACTATGAGGTGGCGCCTTGTAATCACACGTGTATTTCGTTAGGTATCTTTAGGTATACTAAAGATAACCCAATACAAGTCCAGGTTACTCTTACACTATGAGGTGGCGCCTTGTAATCACACGTGTATTTCGTTAGGTATCTTTAGGTATACTAAAGATAACCCAATACAAGTCCAGGTTACTCTTACACTATGAGGTGGCGCCTTGTAATCACACGTGTATTTTGTTAGGTATTTTCCTGTATACTAAGGTTCACCCAATACAAGTCCTTGTTGCTTTTATACCGCGAAGTGGCGTCTTATAATGACATATATACCTAGTAATTAAACATACTATATTCTGTTACTAACTCACATCGTTATCTTTTTTGTAGTAAGTTTCAAAACAAGACGTAGAGCCAATCTTTGTAGAAAATTAATGAATGTAGGAAGTCTTAGGATGAGAAGATCATAAGATCAAGGTTCGATGACAGCGATTAGCCCTTGACTTGAAGATGTTAAGATTGTTGTATTCATGGAAGCATCCTCGCAGGAGTTCAGTTTCACAGAATATCAGTTCTTTAGAAAAAAAAAAAAACTGAGTGGAATTACTGTTGACATATTCTAGCGGGAGGTTCCCAAGTCCTCACTCTTCAGCCTCGATAGAGTCCAAAAACGTCCCTGGGTTCTTATGGGTGACGAATTATTTTTCCACCCTCCAACCTCTCTCGCAGGCGGGATTTGACATACCTCTACTCCATTGCTACTTTCACGGAAAGTTCATAGACGAATTACCTTCCCTGGTCCCGACGAGGCAATCCTTCACAGCAAAGACCCACCATGCCACTTGCATTGTAGCAAACCACCCACATTTGAAACGTATTGCATCGGTGAAAAGTAAGTTCCACTCGAACAGCTTCTTCCCTCGAACCATTGCTCAGTGGAACCGAATCCGAAAAGGTGTTTTCCCGATCACTACAATCTTAACCTGTTCAAGTTTAGGGTTAACCGTTATCTTCCTCTCCTATCTGTACAAACTGACTCCTAACCTAACCCTCTACATCGAATGGCTCTCGGGCCTTTTAGAGGGTGAACCTTAGTGTAAAACAGAAAGAAAAAACTTCCTCCTTACGAATGGAATTCAGCGAAATGTGGGTGATTCGACTCTGCGGATATAGTATGAGATGTCCTAGCTATAAAGTTCTGAATTGGTGAAGCAAAAGATTGGAACTCCTTAGAACATTTGCCTTGGAAATAGCGATGGAGTAGCGATAAGCTTCCAATTTTTAGTCAGTGCAAAAAGGGGCTGTAGAGCTACAAGACCGAGTAAATGTTTTTGAATTCTATCATGGCTGGAAAGTGAGAGCTGAAAGGTAAGAGTGACACAAGGCTACAAATTTGGAGCTCTCCATGAAAGTAGGAATCTCTACATAGTATTAATGGGGGTGCTTTCACCTCTGAAATCGCGTGTAGCGGCTTTCATCAGTGGGGAGATCAACCGAGAGACGGTAACTAAAACGAGTTTCGACTGGCTGCCGGCTAAATCTGCACATGGTACTGAACCACTGGCACTAAAACCAGGGCGAAAATGACACGGCATCACCAGGCGGACAGCTTCCGAGACAAGTTTAATGGCAAGGGCATAAGGTGTCCCCAATGCGCGAACAAGGCCATCCTTCAAAATGGGGGACATCGGCTTTGGTCTGATCTGGGCTCCGCCAGGTCTAATTTGCTCTAGACACGATACGTATGAATGAATACCTACTGCAGTGCTTGGAGGAAACTGATCAAATGTGCAGTTGCACAGCGACCCTGTGATCATATCCGGTCATGGAACTGAGTATGATGTTGATGATGATGATTATGATGATACTTGTTCGATAACATCTTACTTAAGGATTTTATAAGCATAGCCTTATTGGGTGCAAAGTATTATGCACCAAGTAAAAACCGAGTTCACTATGAGATAGTAATCTCACCAGTCATTATCCCAAAACGAGGCTCTTATAGTTACCGAACTTAATATGACGCAGTAGCATAATTACGGGTCTTTCAATAAATGAACTGCAAGATAAGCTTGACAAACGTTATTACTATTATTATTATTATTATTATTAATAATAATAATAATTTTTCTTCTTCTTCTTCTTCTTCTTCTTCTTCTTCTTCTTCTTCTTCTTCTTCTTCTTCTTCTTCTACTTTGAATCCCGTTGTGCATACATTTGCTTCTGGTGATTCCAGAGACCTAAGTTTCATAACATATTTCACTGATCACTCCTAAGCTCACATATATTTTACATAGATAAAGCTTATCATAAAGTGTAAGCTGTACTTGTGAGTACAATATTTTGTATTTATTTGAGTCGTGGGCTACCAGGAATCACTTCAATGAGTCTATAGGAACCTTTTACAAAAATCTGAGGGCTCCCAAAACAACTGGAATTACTGATATCCTCACGTGGCACATCTTTCAGATTTCCACTTCAAGATCCGTGTATTTTGATAGTTTCTCGAAGAACTTCGTTATTATTATTATTATTATTATTATTATTATTATTTGATCTGTTGCGTATGGTTCTTCACAATTTCCGCTCTTTTCTCTCTCTAGGTAATTTTTAACTCACTACCGTCCATCTTTGTTCCTGTTCTGCCGTGCCTTCACACAAACTGAAGTAGTTGACTCGCTGTTTCACCCTGCTTCACTTGCCTTCAATTTATCTTGTGAATGTTAAATTCTTCAGTCCCTTTTTATTCATTGTGTTTCCCAGAAGTTTCAACTGTCTCTTTCTGTTTGTGTGCTTAAATTTCTTTGTAGTTCCTATTGTCGGTAAGAACAATGTCATTGTTGTTACAAACCTCTTCTTTATCTGTGAGGGGATAACAAGCATCCAGTGATATATAGAAGAATAGATATTATATAGCAGTTTATCAGAAGAAAAAAATCTATAAATTGATAGAATTTCTTTATGTCGTCATTATTTCGGTATTCTGAATTTTAGCTCAATTACAGGTGAATTCAAAGTAGCCGTAGTAACATTTGTATTAATTTAACCCAGACAATAAACTTCCTCCATTTTTTTTTGACTATCTTGAGCCTTTGGCTATAACGAAAACGAAATTAATGTTTTATGTTTGTTTGTTTCTTGTTGTTGTTGATTTGTGATATGGAATGTTTCTTTTTCATTGATGAATAAGTGGAAATGTTTTGTTTTCTTTTATTAATAAGAATCACAATGGAAGTTGGAATGTTTCATTTTTCTTTCTGATAAGTTATTGTAATGTCTTTTTTTGTTTTGTTTTTGATGTAATGGAATAACCAGTCACCCCCATGAATGATTATACTATAGGTAGTAAGTACCTATAAAGTCAACCGTCTACGAGAGACTTGGGATGACCAGTGAGAGCGAGACGTTGCAATCACGTCCGACCTCTCAACTAGTGGCACTCACTACTAGATTGATCTGTCTGTATAACTGTAACGTATTTCATATTGTACTTGGGTACAATAAACCATTCTTCTCGTGTCCACCTGGTGTTATGTGTTTATTCCCTTAGAACGGAAAAGAACAGTTTTTTTTTTTTTACCACGCGATAATCGCAAATGATAACGTTTCCCGCTTCCAAGGCACCACCGTCAAAAAGAATGTAAATTTGTAAATGTCTGCCATCATTGAGAAATTTTTCAAACAGGCCTTGAATTTAAAAAAAAATCTCTTAACTGTCAGGGTGACAGTAGGTGAATATACACAGTGAAATAACCCGGGTCTTAGTTAACTAAACCACCATACATCCATAACTCATACTTTATTCTTCACGACGCATCTTTTAAAATTATAACCGTTCATTATAATTTAGGAATACCTTCTTGTATCGATTTTTGAAGCGCTATTATCGATTATAAAATACTATTTCTAATAACAACGTTTCCGACACTATCAATACAGAAAAAGAATAAACCAAAAATTTGGAAACATTTTATATTTGCTTAAAAATTCGATTAGATTTTTGAAAAGCTTTTAAAAGCAATTTTGCGTTAATATTTTTTTTTTTTTGTATACACATATTTTACAATATACTCTTTAAAATATACCCTGAAGAGATTTTTGAAGTAATGTTTTACTTCAAGTTTTAGTTTTACAAGAGAACAGGCAATCCAGTTAAGTGGAACAAAACATCTAGCCCAGCCTCCAGAAGTGATGATAAAATCTCAAAATACCGCCCCTGAGGACTGTAATTAAATCTTCAAATCTACGCTCGAATTTAACATATTCTATTCCTTACACATTGTTTATGTCTAACCCTGAAACTAATCCTTTGGGTCGTTTTACTGAAGAGAATATTTCTATCCTATATACAGATTGATCGTTAAGAAAAATAATATTTTGGTGTTAATGATCACTGTATGTCTATTATCGTAAATAATCCGATAACAGATTTATTGGCACCTCATATTATAATTCTGCTTGCTCTTTCATTTCATAGTAAATTAATTAGCACGTAAAAAAAAAAAAACTTGTCTGGAACCTGTCCACATATTCTTGGTATAGTAACAACAGGCAGGATAAGTCTCTAACTATTCTGTTCACTTCCGGCTAGTTTCACTCTGGGTATGTTGAAGCTGTATATATGTGTTGCTACAAAGAACCAAAGTTAGAGGAGGCGATAACGCTCTGGTATGTTTAACGTCTGCATCAGTGAAATGTCATGGCAATATGAAATATGCTTTCTTGAAATGCTTAGCTTCAGTAATAAAAAAATAGCACAAACTGTGAAAATTCCACGGGTTCTGCTATAAAAGATTAAAGGAAATAAATGTCCTAAAATCGTACTTTTAAATACGATTCATTGACTATATCTCTGAGATGAGATTACTTGCATTATTTACATTGTTCGGACTGTCACTTATCCTCATCTTCATTGCTATATTCACAACGTCACGGCCGTTATACGTTCCGGCCTTCTTCAGGTAATTGTTATTTCGAACCGAAACCTTTATTTCGCACACCGGGAAAGATTGTTCTCGTTCCACGTGTCATGCCTCTTACGGATGTCTCGGTTATTTCTCTTCTTCTAGTTTTTTTGGTTCACCTCTGCTGTATTGAACTCACAACACTTTGGTTCTAGTTACTGGATCTAACCAACGTCTTTATCAACTGAGCCAAGTGTCTAACAAGTGGATTAAGACGTTCTATATTATTATTATTATATATCATTCTTATTATAAAGGAATAACTACAATCTTCAAAAATTAAATGTAACGTCAAGCGCTATCTTCTTGAATCCCGTTCCTCTTTTCTCAATTTTCCCTATTCTCAGTCTTGTCTTTCACTCCTTTGTAACCCACCTATGTTGTTCCTGCCCTACTTGGGGGTATATATATATATATATATATATATATATATATATATATATATATATATATATATATATATATATATATATATATATATATATATATATATATATATATAATATATTGAGAGTCTAGAAGAAACCTCAAAAAAGAATGCAAGGGACGGTTGTTTTGTCCTATATTTGGGACTCATCAGCAGTGGCATCCACTACCGTGAATTGAAACCCGAACAGTTACGATAGGGGGCAAACGCTGTACCAACGGGTCTCGGTGACAAAGAGGTAACGAATTAGATTGGATATAGCGCCGCTATCGTAACTGTTCGGGTTTCAATTCTCGGTAGTGGATGCACACGGCTGATGAGTCCCAAATATAGGATGAAACGGCCGTCCAGTGCTTTCTGCATTGTTGAGGTTTCTTCAGAACTCGATTAATTACTGAATTATGATTATTTTAAATCGTCCTAATTATTTCTATCTATCTATCTATCTATTTATATATATATATATATATATATATATATATATATACAAGTAATAGAATTTTGGGGATTTAGGCAAATCATTATAGTAATTCATCGAGTCTAGAAGAATCCACAGTACTTTCTGCATTTTGATACGAATTGTTCCAGACTCGATGAATTACTATAATGCTATATATATATATATATATATATATATATATATATATATATATATATATATATATATATATATATATATATGTATGTATAATAAAAAAAAAAGAAAGAAGAGTAAGATATATAATCCGGTGTTCTTATAGATATTTTTATTTTTTTCAAAATAGTGCTCAATGTAAATTTACAGAGCATTAATATTATAAATTAATTGATTTAAAATATGTTTTTTTCCGCTACACAGTTCTAACCATGTTTCAAAAATAGAAGCTAAAGCCCCGAATTTAATTTTGCAATTAAATTAAAAGCATTAGTTCCATTTCATCCTCAAGCGAATTCGCTTGAGGATGAAATGGAACTAATGCTTTTAATTTCTATTTTTGAAACATGGTTAGAACGGTGTAGCGGAAAAACCATATTTTAAATCAATTAATTAATTTATATATATATATATATATATATATATATGTGTGTGTGTGTGTGTGTGTGTGTGTGTGTGTGTGTGTGTGTGTGTGTGTGTGTGTGTAAGCTAAGCTCAATAAATAATATTAACGCATAAACAG